CCTCCTCTTCTCACTGCCATCCTCATCTTCCTCCTCTTCTTCTCACCACCATCCTCCTCCTCCTCCTCTCACCATCCTCATCCTCCTCCTCTTCTCACCGCCATCCTCCTCCTCTTCTCACTTCATCCTCCTCCTTTTCTCACCTCCTCCTCTTTTCACCATCCTCCTCTTCATTCTCTTCTCACCTTCCTCCTCCTCATCCTCCTTCTCTTCTCATTGTCGTCCTCCTCTTCTCACCATCTTCCTTGTCCTCCTTTTCTTGCTGCCATTCTCCTGCTCTTCTCACTGTTATCCTCTTCATCCTATCCTCCTCTTTTCACATCATCCTCACCTTCCTCTCACCATCTTCCTCATCATCCTCATCCTCCTCTCACCATCTTCCTCTTCTCACCATCTTCCTCATCCTCCTGCTCTTCTTGCCATCCTCCTCCTCCTCTTCTCACTGTTATCCTCCTCATCCTCTTCCTCTTCTCGCCATCATCCTCCTCATCCTCCTCTCATCTTCTTCCTCATCCTCCTTGTCCTTCTCTCTCCATCTTCCTCTTGTTGCTGTCCTCCATGTCTTCCTCCTCATCCTCTTCTCATCACCATCTTCCTCCTCCTCCTCTCACCATCTTCCTTGTCCTCCTCTTGCCATCTTCCTCCTCTCCTCCTCCTTTCACTGCCTTCCTCTCCTCTTGTCCTCATCTCCTCCTCCTCCTCCTCTGCTCCTCCTGTTGTTGTTGTTGTCCTCTCCTCCTCCTTCTCTCCTCCTCATCTTCCTCCTCCTCCTCCTCCTCCTTTCACTGCCTTCCTCCTTGCCCTCCTCTTCCTCTTGTCCTCATCTCATCCTCCTCCTCTGCTCCTCTTGTCGTCATCATTGTCCTCTCCTCCTCCTCTTCTTCCTCCTCTTGCCATCTTCCTCCTCCTCCTCCTCCTCTTGGTCTTCCTCCTTGCCCTCCTCCTCCTCTTGTCCTCATCTCATCCCCCCTCTCCTCCTCTTCCTCTCTTTCTCCTCCTCTTCCTTTCCTCCTCCTCTCTCTCTCCTCCTCCTCTTGCTGTCTTCTTGCTATCACCCTCCTCCTCCTCTCGCCACCTTCCTCCTCTTCTTGTCCTCCTCCTCCTCCTCCCATCTTCCTCTTCCTCATCCTCCTCTTGCTGCCGTCTCCCCCATCCCCGATGTCCCCATCCTCCCTCAGGTTCTCCGGGACCGTCTGGGCGTCCGCTGTTTCCTGGCTCTGACGGCCACAGCCACGGTGGCGACGGCGCGGGACGTGGCGGCACAGCTGGGCATCCCGCAGCAGGACGGCATCGCCGTGCGCAGCGCCGCCGTGCCACACAACCTGCGGCTCTCCGTGTCTGTGGAGCGGGACCGGGACCGGGTGGGGATGGGGATGGGGGTGGGGGTGGGTAGGGATGGGGTGGGGATGGGGAATGGGGGAGGATGGGGTGGAAAATGGGTAGGGATGGGATGGGGATGGGATGGGGATGGGGATGGGGTGAGGTTGAGGTTGGAATGGGTGAGTGTGGGGTAGGGGATGGCGATGGAAAATGGGTGGGGATGGGATGGGGAATGGGGA